TATGCAAAAACTAAATTTCTGCGTCACCACAAGTCAAAGGATGAAGTGTCAGGACGTTTACTGTGTTTAGTCACAGGCGACTCTGAAACAAAAGTGACAGCGAGTTTGAAATGAAAGTGAAATCCAGCGGTGACCTGCAGTTTGTTTGCTGTGCGCGTCAGCAGCTCGTTAATGTCGTTACTTACACCTGTGTCTGAAAAGTGTCTGTTGGTCTTAACCAGTGGAAAAAGTCTGAGGTTTAGTTGTTTCTTAAGACTTGAACAAAGATTAAAAACAAATTAACTTTAATCACATTAAATAAAGCAGTTAATTACTGTGATACAGCAGAGGTGAACAGTGATGTACTGTAGTTTATTACATTAGCAACATGTTAATTCACAACTGTCATTTTCTGTTACACAATCAGTCGGTAAGTCAGAAGATGTGTTAGAGGTTTTATAGTGGAGTTTATGGGATGTACAAAAAAAACCTCTTCAGTCTAGTTTTGAGAAGGGTCTGTTTCCCTCACTCTTCATAAAGGAATGAATGTAGCTTTGAGTTTTCCTTTTGCAGCAGCAGGTGACCAACAGATTACACAACCATCACATCAATGTAGAGTCGGACCAAGGAGCTGCTCAGCATGTGAAACATGACCTCTCCTTGGGCTTTGATACATTTTGTTCATTTCTTGTCTTAGGTATTAGAAGACAAGACAAACCAGAGGATGTTCAGATTGTAACAAATACAGATTAGGGGGGATCCTGCCTCTTGGCGCAGTTTTTATATTTGCACTTTATATAATATTAATGGTACAACAGGTGGTGCTGAGGTGTCACTGGTAAATGTTTGTGTGTTCTTGCTGTTGAGTGTAAACAAATGAATCAATGTGCTCATCGTGTTCACGTACACTGGCTCAATGGAAAGGTATCTACTGTGGTGGAGCAGGAACCAGTGTGAAACCAGTTACAGTCAGATGCAGACAGCTAACAGGCCCTGACCTCAGCAAGGCCGAGCTCTGGACCAGCACGTAAACACATCCACGCCTTCACAGAAGGTAAAACACTCACACCCGCCCTCTCTTTGCTCTGTTACTGGAAATGTAGGACACGCAGAACGTTCAGAGGTCATGTGATCTTTATTCCACCACAATCCACTCAGTCTATAAAACTGTGATTCTGTTAATTGCACTATATTTCTGTTGAATTACATAGTTGTTCTCTAAAGTTTTACATTGAACGTACATCAGAACGAGAAGCACAGCACAGTTAAAACTAATGAGAGAATCAAAAGTATTAAATTCAGTAATAATGCACAACGTTGTCCTGA